GGTTCGCCGTCCACTCCAGCAGCGAGGGCGGGAAGGTGCGGGCGGCCGCGGTACCCAGCTGCGACCGCGCCATGGCGTGCATCAGCTTGCGCTGGCACACCGGCTTATAGCCGGCAAAGGCGTAGTCAGAGACAAACCTGCAGGGAAGGGAGGATGCTGCAGGAGGGACCTGGGCAACATCCCCAGGCAAGTGTGCTGGGCTGGCCCAGGGGACCACGGAGGGATTAAGAGCATCCCTAGAGGAACCTGGGCAGCATCCTGGGCACATGTGCCAGGCTGGCCAGAGGCATGCTGGAGGGACCTGAGCATAATTCCTGAGCATGTATGCCAGGCTGGCCGCGGGGACCACAGAGGGACCTCAGAGCATCCCTAGAGGGACCTGGGCAGTAGCCCTGGGCACATATACCAGGCTGGTCCAAGGGATCCTGGAGGAACCTGAGCACAATCCCTGGGCATTGTGCTAGCCCCAAGGACCACAGAGGGACGTCAGAGCATTCCCAGCAGGACCTGGGCAGCATCCTCAGGCACACATGCCAGGATGGCCCAGAGAGCCTCTGGAGACACCCAGCAGTGTCCCCAGGCACAAGTGCCAGGCTATCCCCAAGGGTCCCAGCCAGCCCCGGTCCCCATCCCTGTCCCCAGCCCCGGCTCACTTGAGCAGATACTTGTCGAAGGCGGCAGAGGGGGGGAAGGCGCTGAGGCAGGCTTTGACGTTGGTGTTACGCCAGACCTGGTTGGCGGCTTGTGCCAGGAGCTCGTCCCGCAGCCCCGGTGCCGACAGCCCCTTCTGCACGATGTAGTTGCCAAAAAGGGTCTCCTGTGGGCCGCCCAGCCCCGGGTCCCCCATGAACCGCAGGATCTGCCATGGGGAAACTGAAGTCCTCCCTCCGGCCCCGGGCAGGGAGCGGGCAGGGGACCGCGGTGCTGGATCCTGTGCCTTCACACCTACCAGCTGGAAGAGGCTGAGAGCCTCATGGCACAGCTCCTCGTCCAGCCGGGTGAGGGGGGCTGCCAGCGGGGCCGTCAGCATCCCGAATGCTGGCTCCTGCGGTGACACCCGCACCCATGGCTACCGGAGCCCTGGGGACAGTCCCAGGCCACAGAGGACTGGCCCCACGGCACTGAGCGTGGTGGTGATGCTGGATGGGGGCTATGGGGCTGCGAAGGGGCTGGGGTGCAGGATGAGGCCAGCAGCCTTCTGGCAGTGGGACAGGGACGGGGACAGGCTGTGCTGGCAGCACCAGAGATGCCAGCACCTCGGTGACACTGAGAGCAGGACCTGCTGGCCCCGGCGCTGCTGTTTGGGGTGTCAGGGACTGGGAAACACAGTGCAAAATAGGGGTCAAAGAGGAGGAGGAAGGGGGCAAAGCAATGGGGGATGGGGCCCGGGTCCCAGGAGCAAAACGACCTGGTCTCCCGCCCCAGCGTTTCCAAATCCGCCCCGCGCCGGCCATCCAGGAGGGCTCGGTGGGTCTCTCTCCGATAACCTCAGCGGGGTGCCCCCGGCCTCTGGAGACGACAGGAACCCACGGGGAGGGAAGGAGGCGGCAGCCAGCTCCCCGCAGCACCGCAGCCGCCCCGGATCCGGCGGCTCTCAGCCCCCGCGGCATCCCTGGGGCCG